ACTTGGGAGGTGGAGGCAGGAGACTCACTTGAGCCCAGGAGTTGGAGGTTGCTGTGAGCTGTGATGCCAGGGCACTCTACCCAGGGTGACTGCTTGAGGCTCTGTCTCAAAAAAAAAAAAAATTAGCTCTGAATTGTGCTACATACTACACATGTATATGTAACACATAGAAAAACAGAATACACTTCAGTTCTATTTTAGAAAATGTTTGAAAATTTAGATACTGATTTTAGAAACTGCAAACCTTAGGAGTTTAAGAAGCTTACAGTAAATCTTTTAGAGGGATACTTATTCAAAATCTTTGAATAAATATGATGGTTAAGTATGAAGCATGGAAGATCATACTGATAGATGCCCTAAAACATTTTGGAAGAAAGAGATGGGAGTTCCTTGAGCTGTGAAAAAGATGAATCAAAATTAGAGGACAATGGTGGGGATTGTTGGGAGATGGCTCTCGATGGGTCTCTAATGTTACTACATATATAGTGAGCATGGACACTAACTGTCCTTCTGGACTACCTATTCAAACATTCAATCACATTTCTGTGGCCAACAGACATGGAAGATAGAAATAGATTCTTCGTCTGGAGGAAAGGGCAGACATGCTTACTTCCCATATTTCCTATTATAAAATATTTAGGCTCAGGTTCTTCCCTTTCCCCTGTAATCCACTAGGATACAAGTGTCACCTGGCCTGTGGGAACTGGGGATCAGAGAACAGACATAAATGCTAACAGGCTACCACTATTTTTCTGAGTAATAAGTCATTCCTCTTCTCTGACCCCAAGAGTCTCATGTCTTCTACCAGCAGGCTAGCTTAGGGTGGTTTAACTTGTTAGATTGCAAGTAGGGTAAAATCTCAGACCTTTTACAGTTTGTGACAGGTATTATATGTTCTGAGGAGAGAGGAACAGTATGCATTGTGGCTCAGAGGCATAAGAATTCACATTTTATATGGGAAAGTGTAACTTTTTCTACCTTCAGAGCCAAAGGTATATGAAAGAGGGCATTTTAGGAGAAAATATAGTTGGGGACATAGATAGAACAAGGTTACAAAGAGACCTTATACACTAGATTTTATGTGGGAAAATTTTTAGTGGAGCAATGACATGGTAAAAGAAATGTTTTTAAGACAGGGTCTTGCTGTGTTGCCCAGGCTAGTGGGGTCATCATAGCTCACAGCAACCTCAAACTCGTGGGCTTAATTGATCCTCCTGCCTCAGCCTCCTGAGTAGCTGGGACTATAGGGACACAACACCATATCTGGCTAACTTTTCTATTTTTGTAGAACAGGGAATCTTTCTCTTGCTCAGGCTGCTCTCAAACTCCTGGCCTCAAGCCATCCTCCCACCTCAGCCACCCAAAGTATTAGGATCACAGGTCTGAGCCACTGTGCCCTGGCATGGCATGATAAATTTTGTATATTAGTTAAATTACCCTAGGAAATATTAATATGTAGATTGAAGGTTGGGGCACCCTTTGTGTAGGTGAGAAAAGACAAGCTGTATGGAGACAGTAGATTCAGCTAGAGGTAGTGAAGGGAGGAAGAAGGAATCCGAATGCCTCCTTGACCAATAAAATGAACAGTGATGTTGTTCACTGTGATCCAGTTTATAGGAGGGAAGAGAAGTTCTGGGAAGGAGGTAGTGAGACTGAATTACTTTTAAAATAGCTGAATTCAGGCTAAGGTGCCATAGGTTATCCACATAGAAATTTTTAATGGCCTGTACTGATCTGGAACCCAGGAAGGAGCTCCCATGGGAGGAAAATTCAAGGGCATCATCAGGGTATATGTGGTAGGTGCATTCTTGTGCAGCAGGCAACAGGATGGGCTTGAGAGTCAGATGCAACTGTCCATTCTCACTATGTGACAGGCAGTTGAAGGTCCCTAAGCCTCAGTTCCTTTGTTCACAGCAGTAGTCTTTAACTGATGAGGTGGTTATGAAGATTAAATGAGACCACACAGGCAAAGCAGCTGGCACTCAATAAAGGAAAACTGCTGGCATGGGCAGCCGCATTCTTAGAAGGTGGTTGTCCACACCAGATGATTAGGAGAGATTGTCTAAAAGAGCAAGTGGAATGAGGGAAGAGAAAGGAGTCAAGCAAGGGAAAAAAGGCCTTCAAAGAACATGAAAAGAAGCCACAAGAGGAGGAAGATGAAAACCAGAAGGGTTTCAAGAAGATAGGTGTTGGCGGTGCCTGCAGCCCAGGGTGCCGGTCACATACACCCAGGTTGATGGGTTCGAACCCAGCCTGTGCCAGCTAAACAGCAATGACAACTGCAACAAAAAATAGCTGAGCATTGTGGAGGGCGCCTGTAGTCCCAGCTACCTGGGAGGCTGAGGCAAGAGAATCGCTTGAGCTCAGGAGTTTGAGGTTGCTGTGAGCTATGAAGCCTGGTACTCTACTGAGGGTGACATAATGAGACTCTGTCTCAAAAAAAAAAAAAAAAAAAGAAGGAAGGTGTTGGTGTTGACAAATTCATCAGAGAGAACAGGGCAGTGAAGGGCTAAGCAGTCCCTGTTTAAATTTCACAACCTTGAGAACTTGGGCAACCTTAAGGGGACAATATCAGTCAATGCATAATGGAAATCAGGAGTGGATGGACAACAGGAGGTAGAGATACTAAGTGTGTACTTTACCTTGAAATTTGTGTAGGGAAGGAAGTCAGGGAAGACTTGTGTGCAGATGAAGTTAGAAGTCAAGGGACAATTTCTTTCTTTTTTTTTTTTAGGATGTGAGAGACCTCACCTCATTTGATCTTTAAAAATATTTGTGTGTGTGTGTGTGTGTGTGTGTGTGTGTGTTTTTAAGACAGGGTCTCAATCTGTTGCCCTTGGTAGAGTGCCATGTTATCATCATAGCTCATAGCAACCTCAAACTCCTGGGCTCAAGTGATCCTTTTGCCTCAATTTTTCTATTTTTTAGTAGCGACGGTCTCGCTCTTGCTCAAGCTGGTCTCGAACTCCTGAGCTTAAGCAATCTGCCTGCCTCAGCCTCCCAGAGTGAAAAATATTTGTTGAATGTCAGGTGCAATGGCTACTTGGGAGGCTGAGGGGGGAGGATTCCTGGGGCCCAGGAGTTCAAGTTCAAACCATGTCTCTAGAAAGAAAAAAAAAAAAGAAAGAAAAGGAAACAAAAGAAAAAATAATAATATTTACTGAGCCCCTACCTTAGTTAGGCACTGCACTAGGCACTGGGGTTATTTTTTCTCTCAAGATTTCCTTATTGGGGAGTCACCTGTAGTGAATTAGATTCTCTTTTAAAAATTCCTTGAAGTATATGTTAATGGACACAACACTGTTTAAAGCTGCCAGAGTGGCACCATCTTGCTTTCTATTCTGCTGAACTTCGTTGGCTCCATCGGGTTCATGTTTAATAGAAGGTTCTCCGTGGGATTGTTGTAACCTGTATTAACGAGTGTGAGAGTTGCGCCATCGCCAGGTTTTATATGTAACACAATTTTGAGAAAGTTCTTTCTAGGCAAAGCAGTTTATTTTAACTAATATCCATTTCTTCTTACATTTGCATTTCAGACTTTTAAGTTCTTCTGAAACAGTCACTCTTTGAAAATAGCTATTGCTTGACTTTGTTAAATTCTAATGTCTCTGGTTTTGTCCCCTAGGACTCTGCATCAGAAGTTTGTCAAATAGATTGCTGGGTCCAAAATAGAAAAAACAGTGGCAACATTTTGCTGAGTTTCCAGACCTCTCTCCCAAGATGGAACCGATTACATTCACAGCAAGGAAACACCCGTTTCCTAACGAGGTTTCTGTGGACTTCAGCCTTCAGCTTGTGGGCTTTTTGCCTGTGCACGCTCTGACCACCATGCCCATGCTGCCTTGGGTTGTGGCGGAGGTGCGAAGACGCAGCGGGCAGTCCTCCAGAAAGGAGCCTCTCCCCAAGCAAGTCCAGCTCTGTGTTTCACCCTCTGGGCTGAGATGTGAACCCGAGCCAGGGAAAAGTCAACAGTGGGATCCACTGAACTGTTCCAGCATCTTTGAGTGCAAGCCTCAGCACGTTCACAAACTGATTCACAACAGCCACGACCCAAGTTACTTTGCTTGTTTGATTAAGGAAGATGCTGTCCGTCGGCAGAATATCTGTTATGTGTTCAAAGCAGACGATCAAACAAAAGTAAGTTGAAGTGGTGACCAAAAAGACTGAGGTGTGGCTGGATAGTTTTTATTACCTGGGGGTTAGGAAATATATTTTAAGTGCACTGTAATGAATAAGGGGATAAAGTTGCAGTGATGCATTGATTATTTAGCTGAATTTTGAGGTTATGGTGATAGTTGATAGCTTTGTAGGACATTTGATAACATTGGAAATTACAAACTTACGAGTTCAAAACTTCAACAGAGAAATCACTAAATAAAAAGGATTCATTATTGTTCTTATTTAGATGAATGTCCTAAAGCAGTGCTTCTCAAACTGACGGACGTCTATGGAGCATCTGCTGATCTGGTTAGGATGAAATCCTGATTCAGTAGGTCTGGGTGGACCCCGACTGCGTTGCTATCAGGCAGTCAGGTGATGCCCAAGCTGAGCTTTTGCAGATTGCACTTTGAGTAGCAAAGTTCTAGATTGGTGATCTCCACATTTTTAATCCAATTAAGATAAATATAGTTACTTATAAACTGTATACAAACACTAATAGCCAGTTTTCCAAGGTATACTGTTCACTTAGTCAAAGGTCGTTGATAAGAACAGTAGATATGAAGCTAAGTTTTGATGCTATTGGTGGCTCTTTTGGGTTTTTTTCTTTTGCTGACTTCATGTCAGATCTGATTAGCTTGTTGTTTTAGCTCATGATGTAGCTGTGAAATATACGGGAGACAAGGTAAAGAGCTACTATTTTTGCCTTTGTGCTTGCTTGTTATAAGTGTTAGCTGTAGTTCTGTCTGGAACTGGTTTAAAGCTGTTTGTCCATTTTATGAGTATTAGTTTAGATAAAATTGAAAATATAATTCATATAGGCACTTTCTCAGTTGGGCTCACGGCCCCACAGCTAACCGCCGGGGCTGGAATCTCTCCATTGCTTTGGATTCCAAGCATACCTATGTGACTTGAGCTGTCTGCCACGTGTATAGAGTGAAGATGCCAATGTCAACCTTCATGGTCCATGCCAGTAAAGCCTAAGGCTTGCATATTTTTAAATCTAAAATATGAATAGAAATGCTGATATTAGTTTCCTGTAATCCTAGCACTTTGGGAGGTGGAGGCAGGAGAATCGCTTAAGGGCAAGGTTTGAGACCAGCCCAAGGAACATGGCAAAACTTTCTTTCATCTCTGCAAAAACATAGAAAAATTAACCATTGTGGTGGCCTTCATCTGTAGTCCCAGCTGCTTGGAAGGCTTAGGCAGGAGAATGGCTCAACCCTATGAGTTTGAGGTTGCTATGAGCTGTGATGCCATTGCACTATGGCCTGGGCAACAAAGAGATACTCTGTCTTAAAAAAAAAAAAATGCTAATACTTTCCCCCTGTACCTCATTAGTTATTTTGCATATTCTTCAGGGTCTAAGAACCTCGTTTAGCAATTAATGTTCTTGGGTGGGGCCTGTGGCTCAGTGGGTAGGGTGCTGGCCCCATATACGGAGGGTGGTGGGTTCAAATCCGGCCCCAGCCAAACTGCAACAAAAATATAGCCAGGCATTGTGGCAGGTGCCTGTAGTCCCAGCTACTCGGGAGGCTGAGGCAAGAGAATCGCCTAAGCCCAGGAGTTTGAGGTTGCTGTGAGCTGTGTGACACCATGGCACTCTACTGAGGGTGACAAAGTCAGACACTATGTCTAAAAAAAAAAGAAATTAATGTTCTTGGTACCAAGTAGATTTGTGGAGATGCACTTTTGTCTGTTCACTAGTTGATTCTTTATTCATTGATTCAGTGATTGATGTTGGAGGTACAGTTTGAGATGATGTTGGCAGTAGGAGGAGGGCAGAAACACAGTGGATAAGAAGACCCCAAGATCCATGCACAGGGCATGATGGAAACAGAGAATGGAGCCGTATAGACACCCAGAGTGCAGAGAAGACGTTTTAAAATAAGACTAATGTGGAGTTCAAAACCATCATTTCACTCACAGGATCCACTATCTTCGTAATATAAATAATTTAATGTTATTATCTATGCATCTGAAATGGGGATGATAGCATCAGGCCTGGAGGTTCAGAGGGTTCAGCTTCCTGGATTCCACCCTTATCTCTGCCACTCATAAACTAGGTGGCCTCAGGTGATTGAGTTTGTTTATCTGTAAAATGGGGGATAATTCTAGTGCTTATCTGATAAAGTTGCTGGAAAGATTAAATGAGGTAGCACTGGGTGGAAACTTAGTAAGCATTTATAGCCATAAAACATTTTCGTTCAAGAAAGTTTTCTTAGAATCTGATTATGTGCCAGTTTCATTTCAAGTCTTTTTTTTTTTTGGGCGGGGGGGATAGTTTCACTCCATCACCCTGAGTAGGGTGCTGTGGTGTCATAGCTCACAGCAACCAAAATCTCTTGGGCTCCAACAATCCTCTTGCTTCAGCCTCTCAAGTAGTTGGAACTATAGATGCCCACAATGCCTGGCTAGTTTTTCTATTTTTCTAGTAGAGACAGGGTCTCACTCTTACTCAGGCTGGTATCGAACTCCTAAGCATAAGCAATCCACCACCTTGGCCTCCCAGAGTGCTAGGATTACAGTTATGAGCCATCTCGCCCAGCCTTTGGTGTGTTTGTCATTGAGGTGGATAGGCAAGCTTGCTTATAGGCAAGCTTCCTTGCTTATAGGCAAGCAAAGGAAGGATGTGAATCCCACCGTTCCCAGCCTCATTTGAAGTCTTAAATAGAAAGTACCTAGATGAGTCTCCTCCGCTTTCAAAGATGAGATTCTGGCATCCTTAGGTAACATTTAAAAAACCAGACATTTACACAATTGCGTAGATAAACTTAATGGTTCTTAATTCTTTGGGAAAATTCCAGAGTGAAAATGTGAGGACTGAACAGACTATACCCCCAGACCAGTTCTGTAAAGTGAGAGGCTGAGTCTCCTTGGGGAGAGTTTTTGCCTGGAATAGTTCAGCACTTTATATATTCAACTCTTTCCTGATGCCTTTTACAGCCATCTGAGAGCAGGCCTCTGGTCAGTCATTCAAATAACTGACAGGAGAAGGAGATTTATAACTACACTCTGTAATTGAGACTTACAATCTTGCCCAAAGTAGAGAATCAGCCTCCCTCTATATTCTGAAAAGCTATGGTTGATATAGGAATTAATTTTAGGTTTATTTTTAGCTTGCATAACATTTTTACAAACACGAATTTTCATTACCCAGAGTGTAAAGTGCTGTAATCTTTTTCCTTTTGTAAAAGAGTAACTTGCAACATAACTACCTCAATCCATGAGGTAGTTTGTAGTTGTTGGAAACAGAATGATAAACCACATTGGCCGTGATTCTAACTGGTGTGGTATCTCTTGTGTCCTTGGGACACCACTGGCCCTGTATCTCATAGCAGAGGATTATTTGCTATAGAAGCATATTAGCATGTTAACCACTGTCGTCATTTCTCTCTACTACTTTTAACATTTGCACAGTGAAATAATTCTCCAGATTGAGGCCTCTTCTAAACAGATAAGGTCAGAATCAACTATGTTTGCCAGAGGCATTTACTGCCAAGGTCATAAGCACAGAACTACTGTTTAAGAGGAAACCTTTTGATCAGCACCTAAATTAATTTACTGAGGATTGTCCAGGAAGAAGAGGCATGTAAAGAAAAAATTTTACAAGCACACCATGAGACTATATTTCCCGTTATGTCTTGCACAGAATATAAGAGGACTTCAAAAAGTTTGTGGGACTATGGAATTAAAAAATAAAACTAAAATATATAAACTGTATTTCTCTACATAACCTCTATCAAGTTCAAGATACTTTTGTAAGCAATGGTACAATCCATCAGTCCATCCCTAAAGAACTGAGGGATCTAGAAATTTAACCATGTCAATGCAATCTTTTTTACATTATTCCTGAAGAAAAATGGCTGTCCTCTAAAGATTTTGTAAGATTAGGAAACAAAAAGAAGTCAGAGTAGCCAAATCAGGATGAGAAAATAGATGCCTAATGATTTTCCATCAAAAATCTTGCAAATTTGCATTTATTGGATTGAGAGGAATGAGCAGGAATATTGTCACTGTGGAGAAGGTATCTCTGGTGAAACTTTCTTAGGCATTTTTCTGCTAAAACTTTGGCTGACTTTCTCAAAACACTCTTGTAACAAGTAGATGTTATCATTCTTTGGCCCTCCAAAAAGTCGATAGCACCCAAAAAAACTATTGCTATGACGTTGCTGTTGACTGGTGTGCTTTCGCTTAGACAGGACCGTGTCCACCTCTTGGTAGCCATTGCTTTGTTTGTACTTTGTCTTCAGGATGGTAAAGCCGTGTTCCATCTCCTGTTATAATTCTTCGAAGAAATGCTTCAGGTTCTTGATCTCACTTAAAAAATTTTTTTCATTGTAAGCTCTGCTCTTGTCCAGCACCTGTCAAGTGAGAAGTTTGCTCAACTTTATCTTTTTTTTTTTAGCGACAGAGTCTCATTTTGACACGCTTGGTAGAGTACCATGGCGTCACAGCCACAGCTCACAACAATCTCCAGCTCTTGGGCTTAGGCAATTCTCTTGCCTTAGCCTTCCAAGTAGCTGGGACCATAGGCACCCACCACAACACCCGGCTATTTTTTGTTGCAGTTTGGCCGGGGCTGGGTTTGAACCCACCACCCTCAGTATATGGGGCCGGCATCCTACTCGCTGAGCCACAGGCACCACCCTTTTATTTTATTTTATTTTTTTATCAGAATTGTGTAAGCTGAACCAGTTCAGATGTTTATGCTGCTGGCTATTATTTGTACTTCTAATCATTGCTCTTCTTCAAGGAGGGCACAAACAAGATTAATTTTTTTAATTACCCAAATTATGATTTTTTATATTACCCAAATTGATGTAGATGATACGCCACCTTGGGCTTCATCTTTAACGTTGTCTTGTTCTGTCTTTTGGTATAATTGCCAAGTATTTTTGGTATTTATCATTCTTGAACTATATTGTGGTTTTTGAAACAGTATTCCCAACTCTAGTAAGAGTCTGATCTTCTGGAAT